TTCAGATTCTGTCATATCATTTGGAGCAGGGCCTAGGCCCTCCCCCATGTGCCTAAGCTGAGAGAGTATCCCTCTATGTGGAGAGAGCAATGGTTTTGTCTTCAAGTACATGATTTTTTTTTTTTTTTTTTGGTTTTTTGAGATAGGGTTTCTCCGTGTAGCCTTAGCTCTCCTGAAACTCACTCTGTAGACCAGGCTGGCCTCAAACTCACAGAGGTCCATCTGCCTCTGCCTCTGCCTCTCAAGGGCTGGGATTAAAGGTGTGCGCCACCACGACTGGCTAAAATACAGGATTTTTTTTTTTTTTTTAATCTAGAACTTCAGGTTACCTCTGTAGCTTCCACTCTTGCTGTTACTTCTCTACCAGTTTGTGTTTTATGAAATGGTGGGTGTGTTTTGTTTGTTTTGGAGTGGTGTTTTTTTTGAGACTACTCAATCAAGCCATCCATGCCTGGCTCCCACAGAATAGTTTTAATTCTGCTTCCTGAAATAATGTGAAAGGGAAACATAATTGACATCCTTACATTTGTCAGAAACTGGGTCTTGTTTAATAAAACACGGTAACGGTGGATAATTCTCTGGATGGGGACATAGAGTACTGTCAATGCCTCTATATCGGAAGCACAAGCAGATATCTGGTTAATGATCACCAGGAATGAAATGCAGGAATTTTATTGTTTGAATCTAAGTATCTAAGCAGGATTCTTCCCTGAATCATAAATATGTCACTTGTTACAGGAGAAAATGTCCACCTTGGTTCTGGCGATGGGCAACCCAAAGATTCTGGGCCCCTTCCTCAAGTGGAAAAGAAGCTCAAGTGTACAGTTGAAGGCTGTGACCGGACATTTGTGTGGCCAGCTCATTTCAAGTACCACCTTAAAACTCATCGGTGAGCTAATCATCAGGAACGTGTCCCCGACTAGACAAACTACAGGAAAGAAGGGGGCTCCAGTTATGCTGACTAAAACTGTCTTTTTCATTGAGGGGTGATGATAAATATACACCTGTAATCTCGGCCTTTAAAAGGCTGCGAAGGTTGAGACCAGTCTGAGCTATCGCAAGACCTTGTCTCAAAAACCAAGATCTCTAGTTCTTGTTTGTTTTTCGATGGAATCTTATGCTCCCCAAGTTGCTGCAGTTCTTTGAACTTAAGTGATTTTTCTACCTCAACCTCCCAAGTGTTGCTTTTACAGGCATGCCACCTAATATGAAGCCTTCTGCCTTCTGCCTTCTGCCTCTGGACTTTTACCTTTCTCTTGCGTATATCTTATTTTCACTCATAATCCATGGCTGGCTCGTGGTTGGGTAGCTGACCCCTATCGTCCTCCTTTCCCCGCCTTGCTCCTCTCTTTCTTCCCAGATTTCTCCTCCCATTTATTCTCTCTGCCTGCCATCCCCACCTATCCTTTCCTGCCAAGCTGTTGGTCATTCAGCTCTTTATTAGACCAATCAGGTGTTTTAGACAGGCAGAGAATCACAGCTTCACAGAGTTAAAGAAATGCTGTGTGGTGGTGGTGGCGCATGCCTTTAATCCCAGCACTTGGAGGCATAAGCAGGTGGATCTCTGTGAGTTCAAGGCCAGCCTGGTCTACAGCTTGAGTTCCAGGATAGTTTGGGCTACACAGAGAAAGCCTGTCTCAGAAAACAAACAGAAAAACAAATAAGAATGCAGCACATCTTTGCATCATTAAAACAAATGTTCCACAGCATAGACAAATGTAACATGTCTTAAAATAATATGCCACAACACATCCTCCTGTTTGGTTTTGTTGTTGTTGTTGTTTTAGGATCTAAACCAGATCTTTCTAATCTGTTAAAAATATACTGTTCCCTGAGCTATAGCCCCAGCCCCCCCTTTTAAAAAAATAATTTATTTTTATTTCATGTGTATTTATGTTTTGCTTGCATGTGTGAAGGTGTTAGATCATCCTCAACTGGAGTTATAGGCAGGTATGAGCTGCCATGTGGGTGCTGGGAATTGAACCTGGGTCCTCTGGAAAAACAACTAGTTAGTACTCTTAACTGCTGAGCCATCTCTGCAAACTCCCCCCCCCCTTTAAAAACAAAACAAAACAAACAAAAAACAAGTTTTAAACAAATTCTTATTGTTTGCTCAGACTGCCTTTGGACTCCAGATCCTCCTTCCTTAGCCTACCATGTGCTGAGATTAGTGGTTGAAGAAGGTGCTTGTATGTAAATACAAAGAATTGTGTCATCTTATTTACTTATTTTATTTGAGGCATGTGGCCTGGGCAGGCCTCAAACTTACTGTTTAGAAAAGGATGGCTTTGAATTCCTGATTCTCCTGCGTCTATTACCTCATTCCTGATAAATATTTCAATAAGACATTTGGCACCTAAATATCTTTTTTGGTTTTTCGAGATTGGGTTTCTCGGTGGCTCTGGAGGCTGTCCTGGAACTTGCTCTGTAGACCAGGCTGGCTTCAAACTCACAGAGATCCGTCTGCCTCTGCCTCCCAAGTGTTGGGATCAAAGGCGTGCGCCACCAACGCCCGCTGGCACCTAAATATCTTAAAGAGCAAAAATCCTCAAGTCTCATTACAAAGCAGTTTGAGAACGTAATACTAAGTAAGGGCTAGAGAGATGGGTCAGCTACCAAGAGTGTCAGTAGAAACGTTGACTTGTCAGGCTGGAGAGATGGCTCAGTAGTTAAGAGCATTGACTGTTCTTCCAGATGACTGAGGTTCAATTCCCAGCACCCACATGTCAGCTCACAACTATCTGTAACTCCAGCTCCAGGGGACCTGGCACCCATGGAAAAACCTCAATGCATATAAAATAAAAATTAAAAAAAAAAAGAAAGAAAGAAAGAAAAAGAAATGGTGACTTGCCTTGTCACCACCAGCACTAAGGGTTTTCAGGCATTGTTATGTCTTTACAGAAACGAGCGCTCCTTCATGTGCCCCGCAGAAGGCTGTGGGAAAAGCTTTTATGTGCTGCAGAGGCTAAAGGTGCACATGAGGACACACAACGGGGAGAAGCCGTTCATGTGCCATGAATCTGGGTGTGGCAAGCAGTTCACCACAGCTGGGAACCTGAAGAACCACCGTCGCACACACACAGGTGTGCAGTCTGCACTCCCTGGCTCTGCTCTTGCTTGCCGTTTGCTCATACTTAGGACAGCAATACAGGAGTAGAAATGAAGACACAGGGCTGTTCCTAGACTCTGAAGATTTCCTTAGTCTCAATGTCTTGTGCATTCTGTTCATTACCAGTAACATTTATCCAACTTCATGTGTGTGTGACGAACAGACAGTATTGACTTCTGTCTCCAGAAGCCTGACTTGTAGGAACAAATGTAAGGTTGTCATAGATAATGGTGATACCAGGATAATGGACAGGTCAGCCTGTCTTCCAGTCTCTGAACATTGTATTGCTGCATTTGTTGAGTCATACAAATGTTACAGGGCACTAAATATGAGATAAGATAGAACCCTGAACTTGAGGTCAGACAGAGCTCATGACGTGAGAGATAGAATAAATGTCAGAAGGAAATGAGAAAATAAAAACTCCTTGCTTCTTAGTCTGAGATACTACAGTTGCTTTGGGAGCTATTGTCAGAAATGTATTTTTGCAAAACTTAATCACTGAACTCAGATCACCAGTGAGAATGTGTACCTCTTTCCTGCTCTCTTTGCTCAAATGACAGGAGGTATGCTCTAAAGGCATTTAGAAAGTAAAGTCCAGGCTCAACCACAATTGTTCTAGACATGATTCCCTCCAAATTGGCATAACCCTTCAGTATGTTAGTGAATGAACAGTTTTCTTTTCAGTGTTCTTGAGATAGTAAAAGGTATTTATTCCAAGAAAGAAATTTGAATAAAAAATTGGAAGGCTGTCTCATAGTCTGTATTCCAGAACATTGAGACATAACATTTGCTGGGTACCCAGTTGAAATTATATAGCCCAAGTTAAAGAAATCAGAAAGAGTAAGTCATTAAAATCAGAACACAACGATGGTCCGTTCTCAGAAGACTGAGCCTTTGTCTCACTTTCTGTCTCTAGGAGAGAAGCCTTTCATTTGTGAAGCCCAGGGATGTGGCCGATCCTTTGCTGAGTATTCAAGCCTCCGGAAACACCTGGTAGTTCACTCAGGTACTAGAGCCTGTGTTGTTCATAGACTTCAGGCACAGTAAGAGACAAGGGTGGCAAGGCGGTATGCAGTGCTCTAAGAAACACTTTCCATCCTAAGGTAATAAAGCTCACTAAGGCCCGTAATAATTACATTCAAAAGGTCTTCTCACCAGTTACTCTTCTCTTCAGATTTACTGAGGAACCTGCTAATGCAGACCTTTTTCTAAGATCTGTGATGGTCCAGGTAGTTAACAGAGAAAATGTGGTACTACTCAGCAGAAAAAGACAATGGAATCTTGAAATTTGCAGGAAAATGGATGGAACTGGAAGAAACCATTCTGAGCGAGGTAACCCAATTACAAAAAAAACAAACATGATATGTACTCACTCATATGTGGACCTGCTTTATGATACATACCAGTGACTGTGCTTTATCAGAGCTGTTTTTAATGATGTTGCTCAGAATGGTTTCCTTCCAGATGATAATTAAGAAGCTAATTAAAAAAAAAAAATGGTGCCAGGTACCACAAGAGTAACAGAACTGTGCTGTTTTCTGGGACTTTGTTTTTTGCTTTTTGTTTTTTTGTTTTGTTTTTTTTTAAGTGGAGTGTGCTGGATGTCTCTACAATTTTGTTCAAATGACTGCAGAACCTGGAAAAGCTGTTGCTGCTATTGATGCATAACATACTGCTATTATTGGTCTTTTTATATAAATACAAATATATATGTATATATATATATGTACATATATATGTGTATATATATATATATATTTGTTTATTTGTGTACAACATTCTGCTTCCATGTATATCTGCACACCAGAAGAGGGCACCAGATCTTTATGTTGTGAGCCACCATGTGGTTGCTGAGAATTGAACTCAGGACCTCTGGAAGAGCAGTCTGTGCTCTTAACCACTGAGCCATCTCTCCAGCCCTATATGTTAAATTTGATATGGAACCTGTATTGACATTTTCATTCCTTTGGAGGATTTGAAAATCCAGAGCAAAATGGGAAGACTGATGTCAGTGGTAGCAAGAGCTGTGATATTCCTGTCTTCTGAGAAGGCACTGGTGGTCCTGCTTCAGTCACCGTTCCAACAGAAACTGCCTTTGCCTACTGGGGCTTCATGGCAGCCAGCAGTGTAGAAGAAAAGACCTAGTGATCTGCTTTTTGCTTTGTATTATTAAATTCCATGCAATTGTGTTGACTTGCTCATTCTATGCAGATGACAATCTCCCCTGACAAAAATGTCTTTCAAACTTTCTGAAAATATTCTTTAGCAGCCAGACTTTGTAGGCTAAATAGAAAAATCTAAATTGATACTTATTTCTCTTCCCTCCTTTCCCACTCCCCCAAACAGAACGCACTGAGGAGGTGGAGGCAGAAAGACTGGTTTTGATGAAGACCATAAAGCACTTCAGTGAGAGTTCGGGATATGGAGATGACTAGTCAGTCAGGGATGGGAATTTCATAGTCTCAGTGCTGCAGATGTTTTGTTTTTCGTTTGTTGAGACAGGTCTTAGGTAGCACAGGATTATACTGACCTTCTGATCATCCTGCCTCCACCTCCCAGGTGTTGGGACTGCAAGTGTGGGCTTTGTACATGCTAGGCAAGTATTTTACCAGTTGAGCTTTGTCTCCAGCTTCTAAGCAGTTTTTATATGATGACAAGTTCCAAGTAAAAATGGCAGACATCAAACAGAGGGCTGGAGAGATGTCCCAGGAGTTACGAGAGCACTACTGCTGTCCTTCCAGAGGACCAGGTTCAGTTTTCAGCACCACATCAGGTGTCTCAACCCTCCTGTAACTCCAGTTCCAGGAGATGTTTGTTTTGTTTTGTTTTCCTTTTGAGACACTCTCTATATTGACCTGGTATCAATATAAATTCCACTCTTCACTGAATCACTGAACCACTCAGGTTCTGGGATTAAAGGCATGTACCATCACATTCAGCTGTTTGTGGCTTTTTTAAAATAAGGCTTTTGGAAAGCCTGGTAGTATATTGCATAGCACCCAGAGGCTGATAGAAAAGGAGTGCCATGAATTTGAAGCTAGCTTGGGCTGTATAGTGAGTTCCAGATTAGCTGGGCCTACAGAGTGAGATGTCTGTAATATATACCTAAAAGAAAATAAAAGAATAGAAATGGAGGTTTCAGCTGTAGTTCAGAGTGGCCTAGAACTTGCCCATGTTGGCTTTCAACATTTTTTTTTTTAACTCTCCTGCCTTTAGTCTCCTAAGGATTATAGGCACATAACTTTAATCTGTGAGACACTTACTTGGGTTTGTCTAATTGTTAGCCATTTAAAATTGTGCTGCAATAAATAACCTTTGTGTAGGTTATTTCCTGTTGTAACTTAAAGGCAGATTTACAGAGGTAGGACTCCTAGATGAAGGATAAAAACATCTGTATTGTGTCTGGGTAATGTCAGATTACCAACCATGGATGTCATTTTTTTTTTTGCATTCTCATCAGCAATGAAAATTGCTACCTAGCCAGGCATTGGTGGCACATGCCTTTAATCCCAGCACTCAGGAGGCAGAGGCAGGTGGGCCTCTGTGAGTTCGAGGCCAGCCTGGTCTACAGAGTGAATTCTAGGATAACCTCCAAAACAATACAAAGAAACCCTGTCTTGAGGAGAAAAAAAAAAAAAAGATGAAGAAGAAAGAAAATTGCTACCTTAATGTTTTTACCAGTAAATTGGTTCCCAGTATTTGCAAGTTGGAAGATTTTATTTAAATCCTCCTTCTTACAAGAAAAAAAAAATCTGGCAGAACAAGGCTTCTGTCTACACATGGCAACACTGGTCAGAAGTGAATAGCAGCTGCCCTTGTACTGGGGAAGCATTCCCTATTTTACTCCTTTATCCACCTGCCTGGCCCCTGGGAACATGAGTGTCCATGGAAATCAGCTTTTGAGCTTTGTTCTGAGGCTGGTTGTCATGGTAGGTGAATGAAGACTGTTGGAGACTTATAAAACAGACATTGTAGTTCAGGTCATTTATGTTAAAAGAGTTGTTGGCAAATGTGCAATTTTAGGAACCCAAGGTTGTAATGAACCTTGAGGTAGATATGAATTCTGATGTTTGGGGGAAGACTATTGAAAAAGTAAATAATTATGTTGTGCAGGTGCCATGGTGCCACACCGAGGAGGCTGTTTGGAAGGCTAGCAGGACTTTGGTCCAGAAGTAGGACTGGAGCCAAAGTGTGTGCTAAGCCCTCCTGGGGTGGCTGTCCTGCCTTCCCTGTGTACAGAGGTTGTGTGCCAAAGAGGAGCCCTAAGTCTTCTGTCTACTTGATGGCCATCAGAAATTTTGGGCTGTCCTATCTTAACATAGTTCTTTTTGCAGGAGAGAAACCTCATCAGTGCCAAGTCTGTGGCAAGACCTTTTCTCAGAGTGGGAGCAGAAATGTTCACATGAGAAAGCATCACTTGCAGCTGGGAGCATCTGGGAGTCAAGAACAGGAACAACCTGGTGAGGAGAATGGTCAGAGTGGAGAACTGTGTTAAACAGCCAAGTCATTGGACTGCTTGGCTATTTGGAGATATAGTTAGGTTTAGGGTAGAGAGACTTGGTTTCATTTGATGAATTCATAGTTTGTAACAGCTGTATAGTATAATCATCTGCAAACTTTCAAAACATATATTTCCTTATTGTTTGTGTTCCTCCCCTCACAATAAAGGAACTTGATAAATGAGATGAGTTGTAAATCCCAGAGCACATACTATTATAAGTTCCACTAAGGGGTTTGCAAGCAGCTCAGCAGTAGAGTGCTTGCTTAGCACATGTAAGACCCTGGGTTTAAACACCACAGAAAAAGGTGTGTGAACATGTGTGTACACATGCACAAAACAAATAATGCCTGTACATCCACTTGGAAGGCTGAGGAGGGAGCACAATCTGGGCAACATAGTTAAGATCACTGTCTTAGGTGGTCTTTAATCCCAGCAAATGAGAGGTAGAGGTAGAAGATCAACAGGCCAGCCTAACTATGTAGTAAGTTTGAGGCCAGCCTGCACTACTTGAGACCCTGTCTCAGAAAACAAAATAGTAAGTAAATGTTCCCCTAATGAGTTTGAAGTCAACTAAGTGATCTGTGATTCAGCTTTTAGGGAGCATGGACATAAAAGATTTCTATAAAGATTTAACTTTAAAAAAAATATATATATTATTTAAATATATATATACTTAAATTAGAAACAATCTTATTTTATATATCAATTCCAGTTCCCTCTCCCTCCCATTCTCCCATGCTCCCCACCCCCCCATCCCATCTCCCATCCACTCCCCAGGGAGGGTGAGGAATCATCAAAATCTGTCAAGTCATTTGGGGTAGGGCCTAGGCCCTCCCCTGTGTTTCTGGGCTAAGAGAGTATCCCTCCATGGGAAATGGGCTCCTGAAGTCCGTTAGTGCACTAGGAATACATCCTGGTTTCACTGCCAAAGGCCCCACAGACTGTCCAGTGTTCCTAACTGACACCCATGTTCAGGGGGCCTGGTTTGGTCCTATGTTGGTTTCCCAGCTGTCAGACTGGGGTCCATAAGTTCGCACTTGCTCAGGTCAGCTGTTTCTGTGGATTTTCTCAGTATGTTCTTGACTTAGTGGTCAAGATTTAGCATTTTGTATTTCATGGTTTGGCAGCCCTTTACCCTACTTTAAAACTGATAGAAACTTTTTCTTTTCCATGTCTTTCTTTTAAAAATTGCAAATATTCTTTCAAAGGATGTCCTCATTTGATCTCTGTTATAAGCTAATCTTCAGAAGGTGGTCACATAAACAGATAATTATCCCTAAGGATTGACTTCCCTGTAGGTTTATTCTTGTTATTTGAAAGTGAGTGAAATAGGAAATGCATCCAAACAGAAACCTACAGTTCTGAAAGAGGTAGTCAGCTTTCTTGTGTCTCTCACATCCTGTTCTCTGTACAGCTGAGCCACTAATGGGCAGTAGTTTGCTTGAAGAAGCTTCAGTACCCAGTAAAAACCTGGTGTCTATGAATCCCCAGTCCAGCCTTGGTGGAGAGTCCTTGAATCTACCAAATACCAATTCTATTCTTGGAGTTGATGATGGTAAGACTTCTAGTTCTTTATTTGGGGGGAACAAGTTGTAACTTGGGGCTAAGGAGTAGAGTATCTTCAAAATGGAAGTTTTAATATTATCTCTTAAATGATGGTGTGATTGAATAGTATTTTAATTTATTCTCTGGGGTGGTTAAATGAATCTTTTTTCTTTTAATGATTAAATATGATGTAAACACAAGAATAAAGGAAAATTTAAAAGTTAAAATTATCTGTAATCCTTAGCATCCTAGCCCAACTGTGTCTGTCTTTCCTGTTGCAGTTATGGAAGAGCTTAACTTTTAAAACATTTAAACAGAGCATAACCAGGTTTTACAGAGGAGATACAAAGCAGTTTGTCCATACCTTCAAAAGCCATATCTTCTGGAGAAAAGAAAGGGCTCTCTAGGAAACAGTTGCTCCTCTGGTATAGAAATTTCACCCAGCTTACACAGGCCAGGCCCTCTTCTCTGAAAAACTTACCAGGTGAGGTCAGCATGCATTTATTTAGTGCCTACTGTGTACCTGGCACCATGGGAAAGACAAAAGTAGGAGGTAGGGACCATTCTAGTTGAGAAGTTGAAACAGCATAAATATATGAAACATCATTGAGTAGTAAACAGATGAAATTTCATCAGCAAACATTTATTATACAGTACAGTCTGAAAGAGCAGACCAAGCTATGAAGTCTCCAGGAAAAAAAACTTCATTTGTTTGTGGACCAAGTGGTTTATCTGTAAAACTATCTCCAAAAGGTTTTCATGGTGATTCCCTGATGAATGTCTACTAACTGTAAGAGCCTGTGTTTTAGTCACTCTTTCACGGTCAGAGGTGTAACTGGCTGTGTTTTAGTGACTTCAGTGTGTACCTTACAAAGCCCACAGCATGCTTACCTAGGCCCACCTGTTGCTTAGCAGTACTAGTGCAGAGCACACCAGAAGACAGAGGAGTTGCATGGAGCGCTTTGCTTGCCTTGAAGAAGCAAATCCAAGGGAGGAAGGGACACTGAGTCTGAATTTTTAAGCTCAGTATTTTTAGTCAGAATTTTTAGGATTAGCTCAGGTTCTTGACATGGACATACTGCTCAGAACCTCAGTATTGACGGCCTCAAGGGCCTGCCTGGGCAGTGTTTGCCCTACTTCATACAGACTGAAAACATTTTATCCCAAATTGTTACATTGAAAAATTGTCATTCTTATGTCCAAGTTTCTTTGACTTCCCACTCTTCTTTTGTTAATACTTTCTAAATCCACTAATAATGAAGAAAGAAAAGAACTTGGGGTGGAATTCTTCAGGGAACAGACACTAGCATTTTCAGTGATTGGCTTATGAAGCAGCGGGTGTACATGTGGGTTCTCTATTCACTGAAGAGTAATTTTCCTGTTGTTTCACAGAGGTGCTCACTGAAGGATCCTCACGCCCTCTGTCTTCAGTAACTGATGTGACACATCATTTGGTGACCATGCAGTCGGGGAGGCAGTCCTATGAAGTTTCTGTCTTAACTGCGGTAAATCCACAGGAGGTAACACTGTCTCTCCTGCCCTTACTTTGACTGACTGACTTTCCTTTAAGCATTAGTGCAGTGTTACTGCAATCTGAGTGATGTCTTGTTATTTGGGAGACTGATCTGATACTCTGAGGCCTGAGCACTCTTTCACATAATTTTTAAGTTTAATTTTAATTATTTGTACTCTGTGTGTGTCACCCATGCACATGATTGCAGGTATCCATGGAGGCCAGTAAAGAGGGTATCAGGGCGGTGGTGGCACACACCTTTAATTCTAGCACTCAGGAGGCAGAAGCAGGCAGATCTCTGTAAGTTCGAGGCCAACCTGTTCTACAAAGCAAGTCCTAAGACAGCCAGGCTACTACACAAGGAAGCTCTGTCTGGAAAAGCAAAAGTAAAAAAACAAAAACAAAACAAACAAACAAAAAAAAACCCAACCAAACAAAAGAACAGAAAAGGTATCAAATCCATCCCCTGGAGCTGGAGTTACAGACAGGCAGTTGTGAACCACCTAATATAGGTGGTGGAGCTGAACTCCAGTCCTCTTTAAGAACAGTATTTGCTCTCTTAACCACTGAGCCACCTATTCTGCCCCATCATATACTTTTTTTTTAATGAGTTGTGTTTATTCTCACTGATTTCTGCCTCACTAGATTGCTGGTTCAAGGCCAACCTGGCACTTAAGCTACATTGTGAGACCACATCTCAGAAAAACATTTCTTTCATATATGGAATCTAAATTTCATATATGGAATCTAAATTAAAACAAAAACAAAACAAAATAACACAAAAGTCTAGGGAGATGGCTCAGTTGGTAAAGTACCTATGATACAAGCGTGAGGATTAGAGTTCAGATCCCTAGTACCTGTGTTAAAACCAGATGTGGTGGGTGTATAGATTATGCTAGTGCTAGGGAGGTAGAAACAGGTGGATCCCAAGAGCTCACTGGCCAGCCAGTCTAGGAAATTAACTTTTGAGCTCTAGGTTCAGAAATGTGGTGAAGGGCTAGCAAGATAATTGACTGGTAAAGGTGCTTGCCACTAAGCATGATCTGAATTATATTCCTGGAACCCATATAATAGAGAAAGCTGACTCCCAGTACATGTTTGTACAGTTTCACACAGGCCGTGCATACAAAATAGTGTAGAAAAGGTGTTTCAAAAAGTTGAAAACATTGGCAAAGGTGTGGGTGATCCAGTCCCGATGTTGTGAGCATGGGAGAGCTGTCCCTGTTACTCATCTGTCATGTGGCTGCATGGGCAGAGGAGATATGACCTCCTATCCCTCCTCCCATCAGTCTGAGATAGGTGGGAGAGCTGGCCCTGAGGTCCTAAAAGCAAGAGAGCTGTTACTGCCCCTCCTCAGCTGCAGCACTGGGGAGACAGAAAGTGTAGGTGTAGGAGAACCAACGCTGAGGACATGAAAACAGGAGAACTGGCCCTGCCCCTTAGCAGCCAAGGCAATGCAGGTGAGCTTATCCTGGTGGTGAGGACAGGAGAGAGCTGGTGGGCTGACCAAACCTGCAACTACTTAGGCCCAGAACCAGGGTTATGGTTTGACTCATCCCAACATCCACCACATCTTTGATCTCCTGGAGCTCGTGAAGGGACTGGTCCTGCAGACCTAAAGCTATAGATCTCCATGATACAGGGCAACAACAGGATAACCAAGAGGAGTTTCAGTGAGGGTTCTGCAGAAACCAGAGGCCTCCAACCAGACTAATGACTCTGTAATGAACACTTGCAAGTAAAAATAAATGGATAAAAGGGTTTAATTCATGCTTCACTGTGTTACACTACAGTTTTCATGATGAGATTGATTTTTCCTTCCTTTTTACCTCTGTTTCCCTTTCATTTTATTTTGTGGGGGAAGGTGGTGGATATGAAGGGACAGGGAAGTGAGTGGATGGAGATGCATGATGATTGAAAGACACAAAGACTAAATAAAAGCTGAAAACAACAAAATGGTTGAGAAGCAGTAGAAAAAGACACCCAACATTAACTTCTGGTCTCCACACTTGTATATACATGAGCACACAAACATAATAAAATGCACACCTGTATACACTGTACATACCAGCACACAAGAAAACAAAAAATTATAGAGAGATGGCTCAGTGGATCAAGCAAACCGAAGGCTGTCATTCCAATCGCAAGCACCAATGGAAATATTGGGTAGTTGTGCTAGATAGTTGTCAGTCCCAGCATTCATTGGGCAAGGTGGCTAACTAGACTAACTAGAATTGGCAAGCTCTGGGTCCATTGAGAGACCCTGTTTCTAAGTGAGTGAGGAAGATACCTGACATCAAACTTAGGCTTCACACTCACATTCCTTCATATATGTATGCAAACACACCATTTTAAACATGTGACGGGTAGTAAAAGATGCTCTAAAAATTGGGGAAATTAAGCTGGTGGCTGAAATTAAGCTTTGCCTGTAGTTCCAATGTTCCTGGTTGAAATAAAGGGATTGCAGGTTCTAGGCCAGCCTAGGTTACAGCTAGATCCTGTTTCAAAACCAAATGTGGGAGTAGAAGCGGGCAATGTATTTGGAAAAAGAGGGGACCAGGGTCTCATGGAACAAATAAGGTCAATCAGGTTACAGTATGATCAGAAAATATTACTTACATGCTAATTACCCATGACATTTTTGTCTGTTTGTTTTTTTGGGACAAGGTTTCTCTGTGTAACAGCTCTGGCTGTCCTGAAACTTGTTTTGTAGACCAGTCTGGACTCGAACTCACAGAGATCTTTCCTGCCTCTGCCTCTCAAGTGCTGGGATTACAGGTATGTGCCACCACCATAAAACAATTATTTAAACCAGGCATGTTGACATGTGCCCATAATCCCACTACTAAGAGCCAGAATTATGTGTTGGAAGCCAACTCAGACTACTGAGTGAGTTTCAAGATATCCTGAGCTACAGAGTGAGCCCTTCTCTTAAAAAAAGGGGGTCAAAATTGGGCCAGGTGTGGTAGCACACACCTTTAATACCAGCATTTGGGAGGCAGAAACAGGCAAACCTTCGAGTTTGTGGTCACGAGTCTGGGAGCTAACAGACCGAACCATCTGAGCTAAATACCTTGTTCAATTGCTTGTTGGCTGGAACTATGGTCCCAGTCGAAGAGATTTAGATTGATTCTGAGCCCTTCCAATTGTATCATCTTGGCTGACCCAGAAAAGAGAATGAAAAACCAATCAGGCCATGGTCTGTGTCTTGAGAGTACATTGCATATGGATAAGCTTTCAGCAAAGATCCCCCCAGTATTTTGTTTTGTTTGTTTTACAACCTCTCCCTTTCCCCCTTTCCTTTCAGTATAATCTTTATGCCCTAGTAAGCCATTTATAGTATCTAAATGACTCTACATTCTACATTATTTTAAATAGATCAACTCTTTTGGGTTGATCACAGGGCTTTGGGCATTCATGTCAGCATATTGTATCAGGACATTATATTTGTTGTTGTGACTTGTTTATTTTGTATTGAATATTCTACTTTTGGCATCATTGGTTCTAAGTTACCTTCTCTAGGTTGCTGTTTTGGAGGTTTGTAGGTTTCTGTCTTTCTTATGCAACTGTACCCTCTATTTTTGCCTCTTCATTTTTCTTCTTTGAAATTTATCTTACGGGGGAGGGGGAGCTGGAGAGATGATTCAGTGGTTAAGAGCACTGACTGCTCTTCCAGAGAACCCAGTTCAATTCCCAGGACCTACATGACAGCTCACAACTGTTTATAATTCCAGTTCTAGGAGACCCGACACCCGTGGCAAGACATCAATGCACATAAAATAAATTTAAAAAGAAATACAAGCTGGGTGGTGGTGGCACACGCCTTTAATCCCAGTACTCGGGAGGCGTAGGCAGGCCGATCTCTGTGAGTTCGAGACCAGCCTGGTGTACAAGAGCTAGTTCCAGGACAACCTCCAAAGCCACAGAGAAACCCTGTCTCAAAAAAACCAAAGAAAAGAAATACCAATTGGTTGTCCTCTATACTACAATCTACTTGTCTAATAATTTCAATTTAAAAAACTATCTTATGGAAATAGCCTTTATTTGATATGTTTGTTTTGATTACATGTATATATGTGTATCTTATGCATGCCTAGTTCCCTTGTGGGCATGAGAAGGCATCAGATCCTATTGAACTGGAGTTACAAGTGGTTGTGAGCCACAGTGTAGTTACTGGGAACCAGGTTCACGTTCTCTGCAAGCACAGCAAATGCTCTTAACTGCTGAGCCAATTTTCCAGCCCCTCAGTACTTAATGCTACACTGTTTTTGTGCCAGAATACTGTAAAACATTATAGACCTCTCTGTAATTTTTTTAGAGTATACCTCTTAAAAGATAAGGATTTAGAGCCGGGCGTTGGTGATGCACGCCTTTAATCCCAGCACTCGGGAGGCAGAGGCAATCAAATCTCTGTGAGTTCGAGGCCAGCCAGCCTGGTCTCCAGAGCAAGTGCCAGGATAGGCTCTAAAGCTACACAGAGAAACCCTATCTGGGGGGGAGGGGGAGGAATAAGGATTTAGGAAATAACTATATTTCCATCCCCAACAAGTTGAGTAATAATTTGTTATCTTCTAATATTTAGCTTTTGTTTTTCATCTCCTCTAAAATGTCTTTGGTTGTCTGACATGAACCAGAATCCATGCATTGCATCTGGTTAACCGGTTACTGTGATTTAAACACCATGACCAAAAAGCAACTTGGGGAAGAAATGTTTATTATAATTTATAGATTAGAGTCCATGATGGAGGAAAGCCAGGACTGGAACCCAGAGTCAGGCACTGAAGCAGAGACCAGGGAGGAATGTTGCTTACTGGCATGCTCTGCCTGTTTTCCGGTGGGACTGGGGAGGTAGCTCATTTTGGTCAAGTGCTTGCCATACAAGCATGAAGACCTGAGTTGGCTCCTAAGAACCCTTGTAAAACAGCCAGGCATGGTAACACATGCCTATAATCCCAGCATTTCAAGGTTATAAAAAAAATTCTAGGTTTGGCAGCATGTGCTTTGTAATCTGCACCGGGAAGGTAAGAGATGGCCAACTGACCTTGCCAAAATGAGCTTCAGGCTAGCAAGAGCCCTTGTCTCAAAAAAAAAAAAAAAAAAAAAAAAAAAAAAAAAAAACCAGGGTGGATGGCGTGTAGACCTCATTCATGTACATAAATACATACACACACAGTTGGAAACTAGTTTCATCAATTATTAATAAAAAACTGAACAGTATAGAGTGGAGTATCGGTGTTTGCTATAGCCCTGTAGGAGTCCTTTAGGCCCATCTCCCTTCACCACAGAAAAGTTTTTTTTTTTTTAAGATTTTATTTATTTATTATGTATACAACATTCTGCTTCCATGTATATCTGCACACCAGAAGAGGGCACCAGATCTCACAACGGATGGTTGTGAGCCACCATGTGGTAGGTGGGAATTGAACTCAGGACCCCTGGAAGAGCAGTCGGTGCTCTTAACCTCTGAGCCATCTCTCCAGCCCCAGAAAAGGTTTTAAGCCCAGTGAAACCCTGAATCTCTAATGGGTAGGTTCCTGCTTCAGGAGTTGTAATAGAAACAGCTCCCTTTCCTCCTGGTTGTCTGTGTTTTGGATTGACACTGACTTTATAACAGTTTTGGTTTCATCACTACTGATTTCCTTCTGTGTTGATTCTTCCATCACTGACTGTCAGTATGAACACAGTTGTTGAGCCTGTAGATTCAGGTTATTTTATTGCTGTAGTTAATGTGGCAGTCAGGCATGATGGCACTCACCTTTAGACCCAGTATTCAGTAGGCAGAGATCAGCGGATCTCTGAGCTAAAGACTGGTCTGGTGTACATAGAAAACTCCAGGACAGCCAGGGCTACATGGAGAAACCCTGTCTCACAAAACAACAACCAAAAGCAAGCTTTAGGGGGCTGGAAAGATGACTCAATGGTTAAGCACTAGCTGTTCTTTCCAGAGGACCTGAGTTCAATTCCCAGCACATTGCAGTTCACAACTGTCTGTAACTCCAGGGGAATCCAACACCCTCATAGACATATATGCAGGCAAAATACTAATACATATAAAAATGAATCAGTTTTTCAAAATTAAAACAACTGGATTATAAGTTCTGTCCATCACCCTTTACTGAATCAGTGTACTCCCCAGACTCCACTCTTAACCCTTTCATTTAGTCTAAGCTGGTCTTTTTGCTTCTGTAATTCATCCTTAACCTAGTCTATATTTGTTTTCAATTTTATAGTTACTAAACCAAGGAGATTTAACTGAAAGACAGACATGAGTTTGCTGGCTCCTGGAGGAGGGGATCTGTCTGACCCCAGAGTGCATGATGGGAACAGATCTAAAGGCTCACATTCTGCCAGAACTAAAATGAATGTGTGAAGGACAAAGACCTCGCCTCGCCTGTGTTCATCTTCCCTGGCAGAGAAGAGGGGTGTCTGAAGGCTTCGGTTCAACCTCCATCTGATCCAGAAAAAGAATGAGGCAGTGACTATGGGCTGGATACCTGTAGCTGCTTCACTTTCTACTGCGAAGTTTTGGGGTAGACTTCTCTCAAAAGCAAGTTTAATGATGTGTTGGATGAAGATTTTCATTGTGACTGTTCAGGTTTTCCTTCGAAGAGTTTTCATGCTAGACCCAGCTATCTTTCCATATTGTTTAATCATGTCCTGCTTCCAACCACAGAACTTCACCAGGACATTGAATTTTCAAGATGCCTTGTTGCTTTGAAGAAGGGAGTGATGCCAATTATGTTGTGACATTCTTCCTTTAGCAACCTGAGTAAAAGACTCTCAGCCATTGGGCTGTAAAAATAAATTACTTGAATCTCCCCTTGGCCCAGGCTGAGGTACACCTCTTCTTGGTCATTTTTTTGTTTTGATTATGGGACTTAAAATATAGCATGTTATGAGGGTTTTTTTTTCTTTCTTTTTTTTTTTTTTTAAGTTAAAAACCACATGATTTAGAGTTTCAGTTTTCCTTTTAAACAAAACAACCCACTCAGCTCTTTGACTCTTGTTTTAGACTGGTGGTTCTGAGCCTTCCTAATGCTGCAACCCCTTTAATATAGTTCCTCATGTTGTGACCCCTCAACATAAAATTATCTTCAATGCTAATTCGTAACTTTAATTCTGCTACTGTTAATGAATCGTAATGTAAACATCAGATATGCAGGATATATGATGAGGTCACCACCCACAAGTTGAGAACTGCTGTTTTAGATGTGTTCTTAGAGAGGAGGTCAAGAAAATAACCCAGTCTTTCTCTTTAAGATAAGGCACTGAAAAGAAAAGAGAAAGGGGCTAGAGATGTGAACTCATGCCTTTAAGGCAGTCAGATCTCTTAAAGAGTTTGAAACTACCTTGTCACAACAGTTCCAGGACAGCCAAGTCTACACTGATTAGCCAGGTTTGGTGGTGCCCAGCATTCAGAGGAGTTTGAGGCCTGATTTACACAGAGAATTCCAAGATAGCCAAAGCTACATAGTAAGAACTTGTCTCCAAAAAGAAAAAGAAAGGAAAAACACATTCTTTGGCCTAGAGAGATGGTTTAGCAGTTAAGAGCACTTGCTACTCTTCCAGAGGACTCCAGTTCCGTTCCTAGCACCCACATCAAGCAGTTCACATCACCCTCTAACTCCAGCTCCAAGGGATTCTGTGGGTACCTTCAGTCGTGCACATATCTCCACAACACACAACATAGACATAATCTGAAAAATAGGGAAAAACACTACTACCATAAGATAAGGTGCTGATTGACTTTTAGGATACTATAGAGGTAAAACTGAACTGAGGAGCTTTAGAAAACTGAACACCAGCCAGGTGATGGTGGTCTTTGCCTTTAATCCCAGCACTTGGCAGGCAGAGATAGGCATATCCAAGTTTGATGCCAGTGTGTTCTACACAGAGAAACCCTGACTTGAAAAAGAAAACTTGACATCAGTGTTTTCGTTCAGAACTGGTGAACCTAAGCTGCTGCTGATTGTGGTGGTTGTGGTGGAGCTCGCCTTTAATCTCAGAACTCATGAGGTAGAGGCAGGTGGATCTCTGAGTTTCAGGACAGGCTCCAAAGCTACACAGAGAAACTCTGTCTGGGAAAAAAAAAAAGAAGAAGAAGAAAAAGAAAAATGGGTTGGAGAGGTGGCTCAGGGGTTAAGAGCACTCACTGGCTGCTCTTCCAGAGGTCCTGAGTTCAATTCCCAGTAACCACATGGTGGCTCACAGTAATCTATAATAGGATCTGGTGCCCTCTTCTGGCATGCGGGCAAATATGCAGACAGAACACTGTATACATAATAAATAAATGAGTCTTTAAAAAAAGAGAGAGAGCTGTTGGAGAAATGGCTCAGAAGTTAAAAGCACTGACTGCTCTTCCAGAGGTCCTGAGTTCAATTCCCAGCAATCACATGGTGGCTCACAACCATCCACTATGAGATCTGGTGCCATCTTCTGGTGTGCAGATATACATGGAAGCAGAATGCTGTATACATAATAAATAAAATCTTTAAAAAGACAAAAAAAGAGAGCTGGCATATCTAAATTATTAGAGTATCGGACCCATCAAAAAAACCACAATGTCTAAGAGTCTTGGAAAATGGCAGAAAAAAAGGGTAATTCAGATTCTTTTCCAGAAATGGTTAAACATGAAAAATGGGCTTCTATAAGCCTGTTATCTGCCTACAGCACAATTAATTGACAAGAAAGACACCCCAAAGATCACCTACTAGTACAAAATCATAGTGGTCAGAGAAGTTTTATTTAAAATAAAGTTTATGCTAATACATCCAAATAGTGTCGTTTTGAATTTGTTTTTAGCATGCACAATTATTCTTTAGTCTGGAGACTAAATTCATAGCAACTATTAGAGGCCATTTGGCAATATCTGGAAACATTTTTGGTTGTAAGCAACCCAAAGAGGTGCAAACAACATCCTATAAACAATAAAAACTGACCTGCCCCTGTGTGTCAGATGCTAACGACAAGACCTGTGCTTAATTAAGGTTGCAGATGTGGACTAACTGAGATATATGTTTTATTTTACACACACTATTCCTAAATCTTTAGCTGCCAGGGTGCCAGATTTTGGCTGCAGCTGAGAATGTGTTTTCCAGAGGTCCTGGATCTCTATTTCCTTACTGCTACCTGTTTTCTACCTGCATTCCTCTGACACGGACTCCTTAGTTGTGGGCTTCTATCTTGTTTTCTATTCCCACTCCTTAATGTCAATCACAAAGCAAGAACCTTTAACATTTGGGCTAGGACCCCTCCACCCTTGACGCTGCTTTCATCTCTGCAAGCCATTTCTATTATTTTCTCCCATTCCCTAGCAGTGGTCTTGTAAACTCAAGCTCCTCACCTAGTTGGCTGCTTAATGATCAAATGTGATAATGATGAGTGAACTGCTTCAACAAGCAATTTGGTTAGCTGCTCAAGCCATTGCTCTTCCTGTTCCTCTGTGGGTCAGCAGGCTGGTCTGGAGTCTTTTAAATCCTGCCATGAATCTCGGATACTAAGTTTTATAGTTTCACGAATGCAGAAAAAAACAATTAAATGGAAAGGATGTATAAGGTTAGAGACATGGCTTGGGGATTAAGAGCACTGGCTGCTCTTCCAGAGGTCCTGAGTTCAATTCCCAGAAACCACATGATGGCTCAACCATCTGTAATGAGATCTGGTGCCCTTTTCTGGCCTGTGAGCATACAAGCAGACAGAACACTGTATACATAATAAATAAAATCTAAAAAAAAAAAAAAAAAAAAAAAAAAAAAAAAAAAAAAAAAAAAAGGACCGGTCCTAACATTTTTATTATTTTATTTGGTAGAAATGGAATTCTAAAAATAAAAACAGGAATTACTTGGACTTAAACAGGAAACAATAATACTTTACTTCTTTGCCTTATTTCAATTATGAAAGAGGTGATGCCAGGGAGTTAGCTATAAGGAGGTCTGTCAGACAAGCGGTTTTGTCATCTCACAAGTAGGGGTGTGTGGACAAGTTGTTATGAGTAACTTCTCTAGTGGCATCATTGAGGATGGCAAGTTAGAGCTATGGACTGATAGCAGGCTCTTTACCTAGGCGAATCCTTGACTTTGCCTTTCTCCTTGTTTTGCACAGCCTGTGTGCCTTGACTCTTGGTTTTCACGAACTCTTCCTCTAGGCCGGCCTGCCTCAGGGTGTCCCGGTAGTGTGCTTCTGCTTCTTTCCTGGCAAGCACCTGTGGAGTGGAAGCTGGCTGACTAGCAGTTTCACGAATTACAATTCTGAGTTACCTGGGTAGTCAGTCTTTATGATACTGCCCCTCCCACCACCCTACCTTTAGTGCTAGACAAAAGTTGGCATAAAAACTACTTAGAGTCTTATTTTATAGCCATAGTTCGTAAAAGGAGCCCCATGGGGATCTTGTTTGAATGTAGGTTTTCATTTAGTAGGACTCAGATGGGGTCTACAATTCTGCATTCTAACACTCTGGGAGGTGTCAGCTGTTAATTTGAGAGCCACGCCTTTGAAAAGCACCCAAACTACCATCAGGAAGACTAACATTAAAAATACTTAGCAGGGTCTGGAGAGATGGCTCTGAGGTTAAGAGCACTGGCTGCTCTTCCAAAGGTCCTGAGTTCAATTCCCAGCAACCACATGGCAGTTTACAACCATCTATAATGAGATCTTGTGCCCTCTTCTGGTGTGCAGTAATACATTCAGGCAAAAGACTGTATACATAACAAATAAATCTTTTAAAAAAAATACTTAGCAGGGCTGGAGTGATAGCTCAGAGGTTCCCAGCAACCACATGGTGGCTCACAACCATCTGTTATGAGATCCAGTGCCCTCTTCTGGTGTGCAGATATACATGGAAGCAGAATGTTGTATACATAATAAATAAATAAATAAATAAATAAATAAATAAATAAAATATAAAAAAAATACTTAGCAGAAGCAAGATGGTCTGCATGAGCCAGAAGAAGCCCATCTTGTTTTACGTATTCAAGCACAAAACTTTGTATTTTATTCTAGAATGTTGAAAGATCTGTTAGGAAAAGAAGACTTAGCTTCCTTGACAAAAATGGACCTAAAGAGGTCAGCCTAAGTAGATTCTAGACTGTGCCCAGTGTGGGGGAGGGGCATCTGCAGCAGCAGGAGACCCACCATTACCTGGTAGAGCTCTCTGCCCACAATAAACCACAGAGCCAGACACAGCACATAACTGCCTGAGGCTGGTCTTTCTGGTTGTTCCTAGAGCTCCAGAGCTTCCTTAGGGGGATCTCAACTGAATTTACCTTCTCTTAAAAGTCCAGAGAATCTTTTCTTTTTTCCTTTTTCTTTTTCTTTTCTTTTTTTTTTTTTTTTTTTTTTGTTTTTTCCAGACAGGACAGGGTTTCTCTGTGTAGCTTTGGAGGCTGTCCTGGAACTAGAGCTCTTGTAGACCAGGCTGGTCTCGAGCTCACAGAGATCTGCCTGCCTCTGCCTCCCGAGTGCTGGGATTAAAGGAGTGAGCCACCAACGCCCGGCCCAGAGAATGTTTGAAAACGATCTTTCAGCCTAAAAGCTGAAGAGGGTCTTCTGGGGTGCTTAAAGGCACCCTGGCCCTTAAGGAACTATGTTTGGAGTGAAGTACTATTAATAAAGCAAATTTCAGCCGGGCATTGGTGGCGCACGCCTTAAATAAATAAATAAATAAATAAATAAATAAATAAATAAAGCAAATTTTCTTTGGCATTAACTAAGTGTCTGACATAAGCAATGTAAAAGCTGGGTGTGGTGGCAGGAGGATGGTGGGTTCAAGTCCAGCCTGGCTCAATGAGTTACAGGTCCACTTGAGCTACACAAAAAGAAACCCTGCCTCAAATATCTTTATATTTTAAAAAGTGAAAGTTAATACTTATTTTGGCTCATGGTTTCAGAAGTTTGAGTCTGTGGACCCTTGACCTGTCACTCTGAACTTCTGGCAAGACTGAATACTATGGAAGTGGAAGCCTGTGGCAGAGACTATGCATGCCATGGTGGCCAGGAATCGAAGAAAAAGTCTGTATACCTGTGCCTTTTATCACCTAGGCCCCCAGCCTATGAGGTCACACTGCCCAGAGTCAGAGTGGGCCTTTGTTCCTCAGTCAGTTCTTTCTGGAAACCCAGAAGTGTGCTTTTTAACTTTCTGCGTCATTTAGTACAATCAAATGGAAAAGATTAACCATTGTGGAGTTCAATGTAGAATATCTGAGTCTTAACGAACTATTTAATACTCACATAGTAAAATCTTTTCAGAGTTTCTAAGAAGCCTTGACTCAAGGCAGAAAAGAGTTGAAAGTCTTGGTTTACCTTGGTAACCTGTTCGAAGAGATAGGGCCTTGTTTGTATTCTTCTCTTCATTTCCTCCAACTCTTTCTTATATTCCTTTGTTCTTTTACGGTCATTGTTCCTGGAATTAACAAAGTTTCTAGAAGCAACCAATCTTTTTCAATCAGAAAGTCCTTCATTCACATTAAGCAGAGTCATTCTCCATGTACACTGAATTACCACTGCCTGCCAAACTCCTTGACTAACTCTGATGACTCAGTTTACCCTAACTCCATTTTGCTATTTCAAAGCCAGTGATGTACTAGAATCTAAAACAGGCACCCCTCTGAACATGGGGGATACTGACCGGTTCTCTTTAAGCTTCGCTTTGAACACCTCTTCCAGGCTTTTATGGGGATCCATGGCCTTTGCCCGCAAGATCACAGATTTAGACATGGCTTGACGGTTCTTTTTGTGCATTTCCAACCACTGAATGCTGTCTGATTTGTCCTTTTTTTCAAGTGACATTCTAAAGGAGAGAGCAAAAATAACAGGTAACCTGGGTGCATTTATAAGCAATCTTAGTAACTTCTCTGGAAAGTCAATTTAAGTGTTTTCTTTTTAAGATTGTTTGTTGATGTGTATTTTTGGAGGGTAGGGGTGTGTACAGGTATTCGTGCAGGTGACCCCAGTGTTTTGAATACAGTACAAGGTGGCACCACAGATCCCATGGCAGGGGACAAACAAAAATGACATCAGGGAGGACTTATGTGGAAAGTTTACTGGGGAAAGGGGGCAGAGAGGGAGGGAGAGACAGAGACTGACCTCCTCAGAGAGAGGGGGAGTAGGCAGGGCTTGTCTCTTAAAGGGACCTTTGACCTTTGTACAGAGCCAGGGTACTGCCTGCCATGTGCACAGGTGGCACACTCTGCCAGGGCCCCAAGGCCTGGATTATAACACCCAGGATCCAGAGAGGGCATCAAATCTGGAGCTGGAGTGACAGGCAGCTGTGAGCTGCCCAGTGTGAGTGCTGGGAACCATATTCAAGTCCTCTGCAGTATATTCTCTTAACCACTAAGCCATCTTCAGCCCCTAACTGGTGTTTTTTTGTTTTGTTTTGTTTGTTTGTTTTGGTTTTTCGAGACAGGGTTTCTCTGTGTAGCTTTGGAGCCTATCCTGGAACTAAAATGCTTAACAAACTCAGCCTTCCTCCTCATGTTTTACCTTAGACATGAGGTCCATAAGGTGTGAGACAACTACCCTAGGCTTCCCTGTGTCGTCATAGTCCTCTATACGTGCTCTGCTTATAAACAGGGCAATCACCCTCAAAAATCTCATGTTTCAGACTTCACATTACACTCTAAGTACTAAGCCAGGGAATCTCTGGCTTAACTTTGTGTCTTGCACCAACTGAGACCCTAAAAGGATTTGCTGGATAAGAGTACATATCCCTGCCCCATCAGAGAATTCCTTCAGCCTCTTGAGGTGTTTCTGGGCAGAAGAGGCCCAGCAGCAGGGCCAGTTCTAGTATTTGGGGCCAAAACCTGTCAGGAGTCTGCTGTGACCCCCTTACTCACCTGACTGCAGATTCCCTCTTCCTGGTAGCATCAGTGATGTGCACAGGGAGGGTGTTGGCAGAAAAGGAAGCTACAGCACTCAGAGAATGCCTTCTTGGCAGCGGGGTAGCTGCTGGCTGAGGGGACTTCTGCAAGAAAGGGGGGGGGGCGGCATTGGTGACAACATGTGATTAGTTTCTATCTTAATTAGGATTCAGTTTCAGTGAAGGACTAGAAATGATAATCTTTATTTCCCCCACCCCCTGGGGATAAGGAGAACAAGATCTTTTTAAGTTACAAGGCCCATACTTGCATATCAATCCTAATGTTTTAATCCAGTGAGAAGACTTACTGGAATTGTGTGAGTGGCTTTGTGAATTTAATGCACTCTAGAACTATTTGGGAAGAGAATCTCAATATGGAACTGTCTAGATCAGGTAGGCCTGGGGGCATGTCTGTAGGGGTGTGGGGGATTATCTTGATTATATTAATTAAGGTGGAAAGACCATCAACTGTATGAGTGGAGAAACTGAGCACAAGTGTGCATTCACTCGCTCTTTGCTCTTGACTATAAATGCGTTATAGCTGCTTCAAGTCCTGCCACTGTGACTTCCCCCCTATAACAGACAGCAGCCTGGGAATATGAGCCGTTTCTCCCTACACTGCTTCGGTCAAAGTATTTTATCATAGTGACAGGAGACAAAGCAACACAGACTGGACTCTCAGACTTGCCTAGACTTAACATTTGCAAAAATTCCGCTAGGGAGGTATGAAAGTGGATGTTCTTGTTTTCAGTTTACAGAAGGTCAGTCTGTGGGCAACTGAGTAGGTGTTCAAAAACTAAAGACAGAAAAATGCCAAGACAAGCACCTTCCTATGAGACCTGGGCCCACTCTGAAAAATGCCAAGACAAGCACCTTCCTATGAGACCTGGGCCCACTCTGCTGTACTGCAGGCCTCAGACCCGACCCTCCCTGCTACCTGCCTGGGTTTTCATCCTCCCCTCTTCAGCAGTAGTGGCATCACAGGGCCGTGGAGTATGACACAGGTTGGCAGTTCGGAGTAGGAAGGGCTTGTTTCGAGTTGTCTCCCGGGTTTCCCTTCTCTTGGCAGCTCTTTTCTGGAAAGCCTGGTAAAGGCCCTCATAGTCAGGGACCACAGGGTTCACCCGAGGCCGGAATTCGAACTCGGTCTGGAGAAAGCTCAGCTTTTCCTCCCGGGTACGGGTAGCGGTGCGGGGAGCCCGGCTGCTGGAAGTGCTGATAGGGGACGAAGCCATCTGGAGCATGTTTATGGCTCGAATATGGATTCGAATTTTCCTGAGGAGTTCCGCTTCTGTGAAGAGGGCAGTGAAGGAAGAAAGGAGGCAACAGGTCTGAAGAACACTCTCCCCCTTTTTTGAGATAGACTCTTACTATGTAGCCCAGATTGATCTCCAATTTATCTAAACCCTCTTGCCTTGACCTCCTGAGTAGGTGGAATTACAGGCACAGGCAAACACAGGCCCAAACTTACCCTCATTTAAACACTAACAGTAGTCAGTGTGCTAAAGCCAGTGGTAAATGATGGAAAAAAGAATTAACATTCATCCCCCAAGTGATTAGATCCTCTCCAGGATGAGGGAGGGAGAGGTGGACTTCCCAGAGGCAGCAGGCTGGAAGTGGCACTGGCTGAGAAAGGTCCTTTAGGTCATGATCTTAGCCTCCATACCTATGCTAGTCCAGAGGCTTTCAGTGTGCTTACAGAGACAGGTCAGCAGGCTGAGTCTGGGGGGCGGAGATGGAACGGGAGGAGTGGAGGAGGTGTTGCTATAGAACCTCCCTATAGACCAGTTGTTCTCAACCCCATCAGGTAGCCTTTATATCAGATGCTTACATTATGATTCATGACAGTAGCAAATTACAGTTATGAAGGAGCAATGAAATAATTTTATGGTTGGGTCACCACAACATGAGGAACTGTATTCAAGGGTCACAGCATTAGGGAGGTTGAGAACTACTGCGGACAGACCCAACTCTCTGCTGGCCTACACCAGGCATGGGTAATCTCCATACCAGAGAAGTCACTGAACCTAAATTCCTGTAGCACCTCTGGGAACCCCAGGCCAGAGGTAGCCAGAGGTGCCAAGAGTATCCTTACCCTGGAGTTTGTCCCCAAGGGCTGGTTCCAGTATAGCCTTGGGGATCCTTCTAGTGTTCTTCTTTGGGGGGACCTTGGCCTGAGCCACTGCAGCCGAGTCTGTCTGTGGAGCAGCTTCCTTTTGCTGATCTTTGTTTTCAAGGAAGCTGAAGGGCTTCATGGAAGATAGAAGCTGCTCCTTCCTCTTCTGGATCCCTGCACGCCTCTGTGCCTCCTTGCGCTCCACGATCTCCTGGTAGAGCGGGAGGTAGACATGCGCAGGCACAGGCTGGGCCCGGAACTGCCGGAAGCACTCTGCCTCCTCCTGGCCCTGTTTCTGGGCCTGCAGCAGCTCTTGCTCAAAAGAGGCAGGTGAGGCCAGCCACTGGGCTTTTTTCTCAGCCTCACGCAGTGTCATGAGGAAGGGCTGAGGGACAGTGATGGAGGAAGGGCAGAAGCAGACACTTCTGTGCTTGAAGGGAGGCCCAGATTTTGAGGTTGGTGGGATCTGTACCTTGGGATTGTCAGAGGGAAGGCTGGTCATGGAGCTGCAGCGCCTCATGGAGCCAAACCTGGAGGAGAAAGCAGTGCTGTGTAGGGACCCAGCTGTCGGGAAGAGAGGCTCCTCTCAGAGCCCTCTCCCCACGCTCCCTGCCTAGCAGATCATAACTAAGAGGCTTCTTAGCCTTGACCCCAAAGCCACAAAGGCCTCTAAGTTCTTAACCTTACTAGCTAAGCTTCCCTTCTTGCCACAGGCAATCCCAGCAGCCCAATGGGAACTATCTATCTTCTAGGAATTCCTGCAGGAATTGCCACTTTGCATTCTGATAAGCAAGGTAGTAGGGGTAGCAGAGGGCCCAGTCAGGGGCTCCAATTCAAACTTTGAGGTGTTTGGACTTCCATGTAGAATGCCAAAATAATGTCTGCTTATACAGTTATTGGGAAGAGACTGTGTATTAAATGAGTTAAAGCCAGTGTGGTGGTGCCCGCCTGTAATCCAAGCCCTTGAGAGATGTAACTGGGAAGTTCAGGAGTTTCAGGCAAGCCTGGATTACATGAGACTATGTCTCAAAAAGAAAGAAAAAAATCCCCAAAAGATACAGCATAATGCATTTGCAGACTTGGCCACAATGAACCTTGCCATTCTTGGAGGAAAGGATGTCTGGGAAAGGCATCCTTTGGTGGTTCCAGTGCTTCAGCTAAGTTAGTGCTGCCCAGAGTTATTTAGGATCTTTGGGTAAGACTCAAAACATGTGGGCTGGAGAGATGGTTCCGCAGTTAAAAGCATTTGCTGCTCTTCCAGAGGACCTGGGTTTGATTCCCAGCACTCACGTGGCAGCTTAGAGCTGTGTATACGTTCAGTTCCAGGGAATCCAATGTTCTGTTCTCCACAGTCACTAGGCATGCACGTGGTACATATACATGCAGACAAAACACCCATAGACAGAAAAAAGTATTTTAAGAAAGAGTCACAAAGTGTGGTTGGATCCAAGAGCTAATTCTGGGCTGGGCCTTAGATAAGTGACAACTTATAGAGGCGGTCTTACAGAGGCGAAGGCAAGGCCCTGAGATTTGGCATGACTGGCCTGGAGTGCTGGAATGTGGCAGCCCAGAGTGCAGTATCTTACCTGAGAGATGGAGGATCCTGAACCTGTGGTTTCCCCCTGCGCTTGTCTTGGAAGAAACTCTCCAAGTCTTCCTCATCTTCAGAGCTATTCTGATCACTGTCTGGGTCAGACTGAAAGGGAGACTCCAGATACCACCTGCCGTTCTGCTTTTGAACCTGTAAGGTCCTATAAAAGCTACCAGTGGAGTCAGAAGTGTAATCTGTTTCCTCCTCTGAGCTGAGGAACTCACGGAGTTTGCCAGCTCTGGGCAAAACCAGTCCTTTTCTAGGCTGCTCATCTTCTGTCTCGGTGTCTGAGGAGGATTTGCAGGGAAATATCTAAAAGAATAGAAATCAACAATGAGTTAAATTCTAATTTCAAAGGTACTCAAAAGTGACTTTAACTTTGCTTTGAATAAGCCCCAGTATATTAGGGACTAAGAATGAGCAAAGAAAAGTAAGATATGTTCTTCACTCAAATTTCACAATACCATGTATTATATGCCTGTCTGTATAGCAAAAGCAGCAGACGAGCTAATGCCAGGTCCCTGCTCTGTTCAGCACAGAGAGCACTCTGAGTACCTAATCAGAACCACATTCTGTTCTCAGTGCTCCAGGAATTCTGCCCATGATCTTGGCTACACTCTCTTCCCAGGGTTACTTGGGATTTATGTAATTGTTATCCATCTTCCTTTTATTTCCCAATCGACATCTTACTTTCCTCATATCCTAACCAATTTCCACACTGTCACTGGGAATGGATGATTAACAGGAGGGGTGATGTGTCTAGGTGAAAGAGTACCATGGAGAGTAAAACTCCCAAGCAGCTTTTAAATCCTTCAAGGGCTAAGAGCGAGGCTGGGCGGTGGAGCCCTTGCCTAGCATGCTCATGGGTTGGCCTTGATTCCCCAGCATTGTGAAGCACCAGCATCAAAACTACATTCACCAACATGGTTTGGTGCCTAGTATGTCATGAAACTTACATCTAGTGAGAGCAGGCAGAAACCAGGATAACCTAACTATGCCCTGGGAAAGCTTTTCTGCCGATATACATCAGAGGTCACCAGGAATGCACTGATAATCAGGATTAAATTCATTGATTTTTTTCGCATAACATCATGAAAAACTATAGCAAATGTGGGGGCACAGATTTTTTTAGGATTAGCATATTCTGGCTGTTTTGAGAGGAGGGTTAGAGGCCAACTCTGGAAGGGGCTGTGATGAATGGAGAACAAGCTAGTAAGGAAGACAATTGTACAATTTTTTTTTCATTGAAAAGGTGAGAACAAAGCAGGACAAAGGGAAACAATTGATAAGTAAGCATAATCACTTAGGAGAAAGTAGCAATTTTGTCGCTTCTGATGGGGTTATCTTCAGATAAACCCATTCTATGTTAAAGTATTTTAAGTAACATTGCACTAATACGTAGATGGAAGTTTTTATCCCACCGGTCCCACAGCTGATTAGTCCCAAATAAACACACAGAGGCTTATATTAATTATAAACTGGCTGATGGCTTGGCTCAGGCTTCTTATTGGCTAGCTCCCTCTTAATTATTAACCCATCTCTATTAATCTGTGTATCTCCACATACAGGCTGCGTATTCATCACTACAGTAAGTTTTGGTACATTTTCATTACTCTAAAACAAGCCATGCCTGGTGGCCCACGCCTTTATTCCCAGCACTTGGGAAGCAGAGGAGGCGGGTCTCTGTAAGTTCGAGGCCAGCCTGGTCTCCAGAGTTACAGGACAGCCAAAGATACACAGAGGAACCCTGATCGAAAAATCAAAAACAAAACAACAACAAAAACCTTGGAAGCATTTAGAAGCCTCTCCGTGTTTCCTCTCCACCTCCTCAGTCCCACGCAACCACTTGCCCGTTAGATTTGCCTTTTCAGGATAATTATATGTAGATGAAGATCACTTTAATATCTTCAAGGTTAATTCGTGGTTTGTTATTGCTACGTTCCCGGACGTCAGAGCCCGGTACAAGAAGCAAGCGGTTCAAGACCCCATGATAGATGCTCTCAAAGTCTAAGCTCGGGCAATTTTAATTCCACGCCCTTCGGTGACACGCCCCTGACTCTTGTCTCCACGGCAACGCCAAACAGTCTCCTCTTTCGGGGACTCCCTTCTGTGGCCCCCTGCTTCCTCCTTTCTCCTCTCACCTCACGGCTCCACTCGGCGCATTCGGGCGCTCCGGCCGACATCCCCACAGTCATCTTCCCGGCCAGAGGCAGAAGCCGCCGGCGCTGACAGCTGCGCGGCAGCCCAGGCACTGCTAGCCACGCCCCTTCATAGCGTTAGCCTCGGATTGGCTTCCGGTGTCCAGTCGGTTCCGCCCAAGGAATCAGGAGGAGCCTTCTGATTGGCTCATTCTCTTCGCTCATCTTATTTCCGGTTCTAAAGCCGTAACCAAAGCAGCACGGGTTTGAAGGCCTCTGCCCCGGAAGCACTATCCCGGAAGGGGCCGTGAGGCGTGCAGGGCGCAGGCGCAGGTCACTATGGCGGCCCACATTGGCTCGATGGCCGGCTCGCTGTGCGTCCGCTGGTGGAGTACCGGGTCGCTTGCGACCGGACGAGGCCCTCTGGTTGCCTGTCGGCGATGGGCGGGCTCCTCGGCCGACACCGTGTACGATGTGGTGGTGTCAGGAGGAGGCCTGGTGGGCGCTGCCATGGCTTGTGCCTTGGGTAGGTGCATCTCGACAGTGACGGCAGCGCCTGGGCTGCAGAGGGACGACGCGGTCCTAAGGACCAAGCGTGCCTGTCCTGGCGGTTTGCGCGCCACGCTCCCAGGGGAGCCCTCGGGCCTACAGGAGTGAGCGTGAAGCTTCAGTCCTGTGGCATCAAAAGTGGGCGGGCCTTATAGGTCAGTCTGACCCTTGAACTGTCCAGGATTTATGAGCACCATGGGAGGCATTAGTTAGGCTTTGTAGTATTGGATAGTCGACCGGGTTGGACTCGAACTCTCCGACATCGCCTGCTTGTTTCTCCCAAAGTCTGCTGAGATTAAAGGCGTGCGTGCACCACCGCTGCCCGACCCTAAAGCTGCCTAAGATATAGTTCACATAGTTATAAGCCCTCCTTCTTAAAAGCATGCAAAGCAGTCCCATGAGTTTTTAGTACATTCGCGGAGCTATATAGTCACTACAGTAAGTTTTAGTACATTTTCCTTACTCTAAAAAACAAAACAACAATCTTGGAAACTCATTAAAAGTCACTCCATTTTTCCTCAGCCCTAGACAGCGAGTCTTCAACTTTCTGTCTGCAGATTTGCCTTTTCTCAATAGTTATATATATGTAGGTGAAGATACACTTAAGTGTTTTCAAGGTTAGTCCATTTTGCAACATGTGTCAGAACAATGTTCTCTTTGAGGGCTGAAGCAATACCCAGTTGTCTCATTTATCAATGGATATTTGATTTCTTTTCACTCTGGCCTATAACAGGTAATTCTACCAGGAACATTTTGTGTGCAAGTTTTGGTGTGGACATAGTGTTGATTATCTTGAGTCTGTTCTCATCAGTGGAATTTTTGGGTTATGTGGTAACTATTTAATGTTTTGAAGAACTGCCAAACTGAGAGATCGAACCATTTTTACATTATCACTAGAAATATATGAATGTTCCTGATGGAGGAGGTCCTTCTGTATGTTGTGAATATGAATAAAGCTGTTTTGGCCAATGAACAGGCAGGATGTAGCCAGGCAGGAAGTATAGGCAGTGCTACCAGACTAGGAGAATTCTGGGAAGAGGAACAAAGAGAAGGAGTGGCGAGGGAGACACCATGTAGTTACCTAGGGAGCAAGAAGTCCAGGCATCACTGGGAAGCCAAGACCACATAGAGACACAGATTGATAGAAATGGATTAATAATTAAGAGAGAGCTAGCCAATAAGCCTGAGCCATAGGCCAAACAGTTTATAATTAATATAAACCTCTCTGTGTGTTTATTTGGGACTAAACGGCTGTGGGATTGATGAGACAGAAACTTCTGCCTACAGTTCCAGTTTCTCTTGATCCTCATAGCACTGCCTTCTGTCTTTTGTCCTCTTAGCAGGTAGGAAGTGGTTTGTGTTTATAGTTCCCTAACGACCAATGATGTTGACTAAATTTACCAAGTGTGGGCATTATGTGCCACCATTCTTGGTCCCTTTGAAACTTTAGTGTTCATATTTTGGGGTTTTGCTCCTGTGTTAGATCTGGTTTTTTGTTTGTTTTGCCGTCCTTTTCTCGATCTTTCCCAATGCCACAGGGAGGGCAAGCATCACTGCTTTCTTCTTATTAACATTTACACACAATTATGTGTATATTGTCATTACTTCTTTTAATGTCTTTCACAGAATGGTCCATTTTAAAACTCAGGAATGACTTAACAATCAGGTGGTAAAAAGCACGGTGGTAGACTCCTGTGATCCCAGCACTTGGAGGATAGAAGCTGAAGAATCAGAGAAGTTCAGAGTCATCCTTGGGCCACGTAGTGATTTTGATTGAGTTCAGCATCAGATACATAAAACCTTGTGTCTGTAAATAAATAAACAAAACCCAAACAAACACACAAAAATATGTAAGTAAGACATTTGCAATAGATTTTTGTTTGTTTTTTTGAAATAAGGATCTACCTGTAGCACTGTCTGACCTGTAACTTAAAGTGATCTCCTGCCTCTACCTCCCTAACGCTGGGATTCCAAGCACATTCCTGATTCATATAGGCTTTATTAATTTTTCCCTGTAAGTCCACCCTGTCTTCATTTATTCTTCTTCAGACTCGCAACTAATTTATGTTTCAGGCTTGTAGTTCCCTCTCACACTGAGTTTGGGAACAGTTCCCTGCATAATTTCTCTAGTGCAGTTAAATCTGTTCTTGTAATATATCATTCCTTTTGTTTTATTTTGAGCCTCCTCCTCCTGGGCTCAAACAGTTCTCCTGCCTGAGCCTGAGTGGCCAGGAATACAGGTGTACACCACTACACCAGGCCTTCTTCCATCACGTCTAAGTGTTTTTTGTTTTAGAAACGTCACATATAATAGTTAAGAAATAAAATACATCACCTGGCTGTGTTTTATAATGTGTTTAGAAATCCAATTCTTTGTGTTTGTTTGCTATTTGGAGACAGGGTTTCTCTGTGTAGCTCTAGCTGTCCTGGAACTCCCTCTAGACCAGGCTGGCCTCGAACTCAGAGATCCACTGCCTCTGCCTCCCAGTGCTGGGATTAAAAGGTGTCACCACCACTGCCCAGCCAGATTATTTCTTTTTAACTTTATTGCCAATAGCAAATTACTTTCTGGTTCTTAGCTTTCTCAAATACTCAGGAGATTGCTGCAGGACTTCACCCAGTAACAACATTTCCAAGTCCATTTCTTACTACAGATGTTTTAGGTTTGTAGTGTACTTTTTAAGTAATATATTTTTTAAAAGATTTGTTATGTGTAGTGTTCCTCCTGAATATATGCCTGCTGACCAGAAGAGGGCACCAGATCTCATTATAGATGGTTGTGAGTTTCGTTCCAGTTCCCCCCTCCTAGCTTTCTCCTTTGTGTGTAAGTGCTCAGCCACAGCCTAGAGATGAAGCCCCAGGCCTGGCTCATGTGAAGCTAGTGCTGTTTGTGCGATTGAGCTGTCTGCATCCAGGATCATGAATTGTCAGTTTTAGTGAGTTCACTCTGAAGTTAAGAAATAGATGGGCTACATTTATTGTTATTACTATTGTTATTATTATTCCTAGGGAATTCTACTTGCTGTTAATAAATTTTTCCAGTGTTGGCTTCTTCGTGTGTGGCATGTAGTGAGCTTTGTCTGGAGGTGCAGTACGGTTGTGTGGAGGGTGGCTGTCTCAGCTGAAATGGGAGATTATGCTATTGTTTATGATAGTGGTTTTTTTCTCTTAGGAAACTGGAATTATTGTTTTTGCAGTACTGAAGACTGAACCAGGACCTCAAACTTGACAGGCATACACGTCACCACTGAGCTATGTCCCCAGCCTAGAAACTTAATTTCCAAGGCTAAGAGACTAGTTAATCTTTTTTCTTTCTGTTCGGGTTTTGTGTTTTGTTTGTTTTTGAGACATGTTCTTGTAGCCTAAGCTGACTGCATAATCATGGCAGCCTTCCTACCTTAGCCTTCAGTTGCTAGGATTATAGGTGTGAGCTACCATAGCTAGTTTATATTTGTTTCTAATTGAAGACTTAAAACATAAAAATCACACTTATTAATGGTGTGTCTTGTGATATTTTGATACATACATATGTTGTCTAATTTTAAATCTGCCTAAACATTTCCTTTAACATTTATTATTTCTCTATGATGAAAACTTTCAAAATTCTTCCAGCTTTTAGAAATGTGTAATATGCCGGGCAGTGGTGGCACACTAGGGAGGCAGAGGCAGGAGGATCTCTGTGAGTTTGAGGCCAGCCTGGTCTATACACAGAGAAACCCTGTCTTGAAATATCAAAAAAGAAACAAGAAAACAAAATGGAAATGAGTAACACATTGTTATTAGTTGTAGTTGCCCTACTGTGTAATTAAATCCTTGGCTTTTCTAAAATGATTTAAAATGTTAATTCTTTTTTTTTTTTTTTAGGACATGATATTAATTTTCGTGACAAGAAAATCCTGTTGCTGGAAGCAGGTCCAAAAAAAGTACTGGAGAAATTGTCAGAAACTTACAGCAACAGAGTCAGCTCCATTTCCCCTGGTTCTGCAACCCTTCTCAGCAGTGAGTAGATGAGCCTGTCTCTTGGGACCTGCCTCCTTTCGTCTCAGCTTCCCCACAGGGCATAGAGCAGTCCCATAGGGTAGTTACTAGAGCCCGTGAATTAAAGCGCACAGTGGGGAGTGAGCAGGTGGGCTTGGTAGTGTCTTAGCTGAAGATGAGGACTGCTGAAGTTGGCAGTGTGTCAAGGCTTTGTCTGAAGAGGACATCTTGAGACGTGGATCCATCATGTCACCCTCATTTATGACGTTAGACCATTAGTATGTGGTCTGCTACAGTCACTTTAATCCAAGTCAGTCCTCAAGTGGGCTGGGGAGTCTGCATTTTAATGACTGTTTTGGGGTATAGATGCATTGTCTTTCTATTTGTGCTACTTGGTACTCCCTCAGGCCATCCTGTCTGAAACCAGTCTATCTAAAATTGAACTCTTCAGTCACTTTATAGCTTGCTTGCTCTTTCTTTTCCTTCCTCTTCTTCTCTTTTCTTATTTTTGGTTTTTTGAGACAAGTTTCTCTGTGGAATCTTGGCTGTCCTGAAACTCACTTTTGAGACCAACCTGGCCTCAGATTCAAGGATCTGCCTTCCCCTGCCTCCCAAGTGCTG